TGATTGATACGGCTGTGAAGACAGCTGAAACTGGCTACATCCAGCGTCGTCTCATCAAGGCTATGGAGTCTGTGATGGTCAACTACGATGGCACCGTGCGTAACTCGGTCGGACAGCTGATTCAGCTGCGTTACGGCGAGGACGGCCTCTGTGGCGAGCTGGTCGAGTTCCAAAATATGCCCACAGTGAAGCTGTCCAATAAGGTCTTTGAGAAGCGCTTCAAATTCGATTGGTCCAATGAGCGGTACATGCGCAAGGTGTTCACAGACGACGTCATCAAAGAGATGACGGACAGCAGCGATGCCATCCAGGAGTTGGAGTCCGAATGGGATCGCCTCGTCAGCGATCGCGATAACCTTCGCACCATCTTTCCCAATGGCGACTCCAAGGTGGTGCTGCCGTGCAACCTGCAGCGCATGATCTGGAATGTGCAGAAGATCTTTCACATCAACAAACGCCTGCCCACGGATCTGTCGCCGATGCGTGTGATCAGAGGCGTGAAGGGATTGCTGGAACGCTGTGTCATTGTCACGGGCAACGATCGCATCTCCAAGCAGGCCAACGAGAACGCCACGCTGCTCTTCCAGTGCCTCATCCGCTCGACCTTGTGCACGAAGTACGTCTCCGAGGAGTTCCGCCTGTCGACAGAGGCATTCGAGTGGTTGATCGGTGAGATCGAGACACGCTTCCAGCAGGCCCAGGCAAATCCTGGTGAAATGGTGGGCGCCTTGGCTGCTCAGAGCTTGGGCGAACCGGCCACGCAGATGACACTGAACACTTTCCATTTCGCTGGTGTGTCCTCGAAGAACGTAACCCTGGGCGTGCCGCGTCTCAAGGAGATTATCAACATATCGAAGAAGCCAAAGGCGCCGTCTCTCACAGTTTTCCTTACCGGCGGCGCCGCTCGCGACGCGGAGAAGGCAAAGAACGTGCTGTGCCGTCTGGAGCATACGACGCTGCGTAAGGTAACAGCCAACACGGCCATTTACTACGATCCAGACCCGCAGCGGACGGTCATTGCGGAGGATCAGGAGTTCGTCAATGTCTACTATGAAATGCCCGACTTTGATCCGACTCGCATTTCGCCCTGGCTGCTGCGCATCGAGCTCGACCGCAAGCGCATGACGGATAAGAAACTGACCATGGAGCAGATTGCCGAGAAGATCAATGTTGGCTTCGGCGAGGATCTGAACTGCATCTTCAATGACGACAATGCGGACAAGCTGGTGCTGCGCATCCGCATCATGAACAACGAGGAGAACAAGTTCCAGGACGAGGACGAGGCAGTCGATAAAATGGAGGACGACATGTTCCTCCGCTGCATCGAGGCCAACATGCTCTCCGACATGACACTGCAGGGCATTGAGGCGATTGGCAAGGTCTATATGCATCTGCCCCAGACGGACAGCAAGAAGCGAATCGTCATCACCGAGACGGGCGAGTTCAAGGCCATCGGCGAGTGGCTGCTGGAAACGGATGGCACGTCGATGATGAAGGTGCTGTCGGAGCGAGATGTCGATCCCATACGCACATCCTCCAATGATATTTGCGAAATCTTCCAAGTGCTGGGCATTGAAGCTGTGCGAAAGTCCGTGGAGAAGGAGATGAACGCTGTGCTACAGTTTTATGGCCTCTACGTGAACTATCGTCATCTGGCCCTGCTTTGCGACGTGATGACGGCCAAGGGCCACTTGATGGCCATCACCCGACACGGCATCAATCGGCAGGATACGGGCGCCCTTATGCGTTGCTCCTTCGAAGAAACTGTGGACGTGTTGATGGATGCAGCTGCGCACGCCGAGACCGATCCTATGCGTGGTGTCTCCGAGAATATCATAATGGGCCAATTGCCCAAAATGGGCACTGGCTGCTTTGATCTGCTGCTGGACGCGGAGAAGTGTCGCTTTGGCATTGAGATTCCCAATTCTCTTGGCAGCAGCATGCTGGGCGGTGCTGCCATCTTTATGGGCGGTGGCTCCACGCCAAGTATGACGCCGCCAATGACGCCATGGGTGAATTGCCATACACCCCGTTACTTTTCGCCATCCGGGCATGGTAAGTGTTAATTCACTCTCTTTCTCGCTCTCGCTTTCGCGTTTTCTCTCGCGCTCGCGCTCGCGCTCTCGCTCTATGTTATATACTTATCCCACTCTCTCTTTCTTTTTTTCTTTCTCTGTGTGTGTTTGCAGTAAGCGCCATGACACCGGGTGGACCCAGTTTCTCGCCCTCGGCCGCTTCAGACGCCTCTGGCATGTCACCCAGCTGGTCGCCGGCACATCCGGGCTCTTCGCCCAGTTCGCCAGGTCCTTCGATGTCGCCGTATTTCCCCGCTTCGCCCAGCGTTTCTCCATCTTATTCGCCCACGTCGCCGAATTATACGGCTTCGTCGCCGGGCGGCGCCTCACCGAATTATTCGCCATCGAGCCCCAATTATTCGCCCACATCGCCGCTTTATGCGTCCACAAGTCCGAGGTACGCCTCGACCACGCCCAACTTCAACCCACAATCGACGGGATATTCGCCTTCGTCGTCGGGCTATTCGCCCACATCGCCTGTGTACTCCCCCACGTCGAATTTCCAGTCGAGCCCGTCGTTTGCGGGAAGCGGCAGCAATATGTATTCGCCTGGCAATGCGTATTCGCCGAGCTCGTCAAATTACTCACCCAATTCACCGTCTTATTCACCAATGTCGCCCTCATATTCGCCGTCAAGTCCATCGTACTCGCCCACGTCGCCCTGTTACTCACCGACATCGCCTTCGTACTCGCCGACTTCGCCGAACTACACGCCCGTCACGCCTTCGTATTCGCCGACATCGCCCAACTACTCGGCGTCGCCGCATTACTCGCCGGCATCGCCGGCCTACTCACAGACAGGCGTCAAATATTCGCCGACATCGCCAACGTATTCGCCGCCCTCGCCGTCATACGACGGCTCGCCAGGTTCGCCGCAGTACACGCCAGGCTCGCCACAATATTCACCAGCCTCGCCCAAATATTCACCCACTTCGCCGCTGTATTCGCCCAGTTCGCCGCAGCACTCGCCGTCGAACCAGTACAGTCCGACAGGATCCACATATTCAGCGACAAGTCCACGCTATTCCCCCAACATGTCCATCTATTCTCCAAGCAGCACCAAATATTCACCCACGTCGCCCACGTACACGCCGACAGCGCGAAACTATTCGCCCACTTCGCCCATGTACTCGCCGACAGCGCCCTCGCACTACAGTCCGACGAGTCCGGCGTACTCGCCGAGCAGTCCCACATTCGAGGAAAGCGACGATTAGAGCCGACCCAAGGCTGCTGCTCAACCTGCAGCCGAGAGGTAGAAGGCGAGGGGAGATGATGATGATGATCTTTGACATGGATGACTATTTCTTAATATAAGTAACGTGAATCGGAGTTCACCATTGTAAATTCATCTTATCTAACAATATATATATTTATATATATCTATATCGATGATTCCCCAATTGCGGACTCGACTGATGTATCAATACTTAATGAGCAACTGGAAGTCTATATGAAAATATTTATTACCGAACCGTACGAGCTTTGTACATCTCTCTGCTTGTCATAGATCGAAGTATGTATGACTGGTGACATATTTACTCTACATGAACAATGAGAGATACATTTATAAATATATTTCAATATTTTACGACTTCACTATTATGATATATCGACGCGGACACATATAAATGAATATAAATATGTATGTGCATGCACGTCTAGCTAATTTTTTTTTTCCTGTTCTATATACACCTACGAACATTGCGCAAGACAGATTATATCCACAAATATATATTAAACGTTTAAGTCGTAAATAAGCTACGAAAAAAAATTTAATTGATATACATACCAAGAAAATAAAGAGTTTTGTAAAAAACCAACAAATTTTTGATATGATTTCCTTACCTCTTGATGAATGCATACATGAGTTTATATCTGATTAGATGATATTAAGAGGCAGCGAAAAAGCTGAGATTAGCTGAGTACGACAGACAAAGATATATGTATATAGATACATGAAGATATATATAGGCATAGATTGATATAGACATTTCCAGAAGATATTCCTTATACAAGGAAACCCTAAACGAAATTGTATGTGATATATTTGTTTTAAGGAAAGCATTTTCAATCCAGATTTTATAGACAGCATACATACATACATATGTTCTTTAGATGTACTAAGATTCCTCTAGTACATACATATAGGCATAGAGGAAAGATATTCCCGTGGTATATAGATGTGATGCATAATATGTATATACTTGAAATCTAATCAGATGCAACAGTTTAAATAGACCCAATCCCAACTTCCTCGCGAATAAAACCTTTGTCGTTTAAATGTAAATAAAAAAAAAAAAAAATTAGGTATATATATTTTTGCCATAATTGATAAATTATTTATATATAGATATACATGTGTGTATATCGGTTGTACGAATAAGTGCCGTTATGCTACATGGGATTAGTTAAAACAAAATATTCGATACGAACTATGATTAGCATTTGGACTATACGCCTAGCAGACGGGACTCTATGTAAAATAGTTAGTTAGTTCATAAGGATCTAAGTAGGTGTGATTATATATATTTGTATATGTATATTGTATATCAGCTACTAGTAAAAACTCTTAATTATGGGACTTTCAAATGTTGGACTCGATTGATCTCCTTGTCTTAGAGGCTACTCTTACCTAGTTATAAATTAGATTAGAAGAAAAAAAAAAAAGTTTTTTTTTTTGGGATTTTTGTTTTGGATTGGTACAATTGAAGACTAGAACTATACATGGGATTTACTTGGATAAGGGGAACTTGAGGGGATTATCTTTCGTATTTGCTGGCTTAGGTGGTTAGTTTTGGATAGGATTAGGTTAGCTGTGACTAGTATTGGTTGAGAATTGGCTTATGAGTATTTCGATTGCTCTGATTGCTGCTGCTCCTGCTGCAGCTGCTGCTGCTGCTGTGCGAGCAACTGTTGCTTGCGCGGTCAAGCGACAATATCGCTGCCCGGATTGTAGCCAAAGTAGTTGAGATTGAAGTCGTCGCTGAATAGCACCTCCTCCTCGGACGGCTCCACCTGGTGGGACATCTGTATGCCCAGCTCCATGGGATCGATCTCTGTGATGTAGTACTGCGAGTGGGCGAGGCTGCCTGCCAGCAGGTTGCTGCTGCTCCCGCTGTGCTGCTGCTGCTGCTGCTGTTGATGCTGTTGCTGCTGTTGATGATGCTGATGCTGATGCTGGCGCAGTCCGCTCTCCGTGACGACGACGTCTTTGTGTATGGGATTGAGATAGTCTTCTGGAAGAAAGGCAGCCATTAATCAAGCCATCAGACACTCAATGAATCAATCAGTCAATCACTCAAGAAGAAATTGGAGTACCTGCATCTCACTCCATCAGTCAAGCAGTCAATCAGTGAAGGAATCACACACTCAGTCAAGTAAATTCACTATCAAGTCAACCTATCAAGCAATCAATCAATCACTCTCAATCTACAGTACCTGCCCATTAATTAACCACCCTATCAAGCTATCAATCAATCACCGTCAATCTCCTTCAGTACCTGCCAATCAATCAATAACCTAAATCAACCCATTAAATCATATCCATCAGTCAACCTATCAAGCAGTCAATCCCCTATCAATCCGAATCTCAATAATAGAATCACTGACACTCAATCAATCAATCATACAGGTATCATCACCCTGTCACCCCATCAATCAGTCAATCCAATTGCTACTCACCATTGTCGAGCAGCACATCCTGATAGGTGCTGATGATGGAGTTGACCGACTGCACCTCCACCTCTCGGTGGATGCCATTGAGGATCTGTCCCGCCGTCTTGCGCAGCTCGTCGTCGCTCAGCAGATCGCTGAACGGCAACAGTCGCTGCGAATGCGAGTGCGAATGCGGATGCGGATGCGGATGCGATGTGGGCGACTCGTCGCTCTGCGTCTGCTGCAGCATTTCGTGGGTGAGGGCAGCGGCAGCAACAGCTGCCTCATCGTACATGCAGTTAGCCGTCTGCTGCTGCGGCGAGTGCGAGTGCTGCAACTGTTGCTGCTGTTGCAATTGTTGTTGCTGCTGCTGCTGCTGTTGTTGTTGTTGCTGCTGTTGCTGTTGCTGCTGCTGCTGCATCTGCTGCTGATGCTGTTGAATGCGCTCGCGATTGATGGACTCCATTTTGAAGAACAGATCCAAGCGTTGCTTTTTCTGCAATCCAAACAAATTCAGAGTGAGCAAAGCTTGTTGTGCGTGTGTATGTATGTGTGTGTGTGTCGCTTACATGCTCCCAGGCCAACACATTCTCCGCCGAGTCTCCGCTGGATATGGCCCACAGATGGCCAGCGCCCTGCGGCGCCTTTACGCCCTTGCGAAAGTGCGGATTGATCGAGAGATTGTGCCGCACCGAGTTCTTCCAGCGATCATCGTTCGACTTGTAGTACGGAAAGCGGTCGCTGCATCGATTAGAGAGAGACAAGCATATAGCAGGCAGTCAAGAAAGAGCGAGAGAGAGAGAGAAGAGAGATGTTTTGTAGATTAGCATTGGCTTTATTAGAGAGACTTGTGAGATATGTGAATGTGCTAAATACTTATGTTTGACTATGGTAAGCAGTTTAGAGTGCTGCGGTGGGGTATGATCGACTAGCAGCTACCCTGGAACTAACAGAGCGATATGCGACTTTGAATGAAGACACGAATTATATGATAGGAACAAACTTATTCACCTTCAACTTTGAAGCCTGACTCCATATATATCTATATATCTACATATATCTATTGTATTGCATATATATGTATATTGTATATATTGGATTCATTGTAAAAGTCTTTCGCTTGGAAGGGGTCGCTGATTGGTCAAGGCGCAGAGGGCTTGGGGGTTGCAAGGGTGAGTGCAACGGCGGCTGATTGGCCAGTGGCGTGGTCAGGTTAGGTCAGGTTAGGTGCTACCCCCGGCTGGTTCTGGCCTGCTCGGGCCACTCACAAGCTGAAGAACTTTTTGACCAGTCGCAATTAAAGTTGGCAACATGCGAAGCCAAGTTAACAGGCAATTTGCAGCGAACACGTCACGGCACGGCACTGCGGCAGAGCTCCAAAAGGGACGAAGCAGGCGCAGGGCCAGCAGGGAGCACCGTGGACAGGAACACGGATACGGACACGGACAGCGGCAGTGGCACAAATTATGCGTCGTTTTGTAGGCAGTCACGAACAGGCGATTTGGACAGAAACGAAAATACAAAAAGAAACGAGAGGCAGGCGTGCTACAGGGGGCAATGAGCGACTAGTAGATACCCTTCAAATTAAAGCTGTACAGAGTGAGTAACAAATACTTAAGAGACTGAGCTCTGGTTCATTAGTTAACCTTGAGCACTAGTTCACTCAGTTTACTAGATCCATAATCAGTTTTATTGAAATTACATGGTTCATTGTTCACCTGACTAGTTCAGCTCATTTTCAGAACTAGTGCATTATTCATTAGAACAGATTAAGTTCACTTTCCCAGCCAGTCTAGTTCATTAGTTAACTTTGAGCACTAGTTCACTCAGTTTACTAGGTCCATAATCAGTTTTATTGAAATTACATGGTTCATTGTTCACTTGACTAGTTCAGCTCATTTTCAGAACTAGTGCATTATTCATTAGAACAGATTCAGTTCACTTTCCCAGCCAGTCTAGTTCATTAGTTAACTTTGAGCACTAGTTCACTCAGTTTACTAGATCCATAATCAGTTTTATTGAAATTACATGGTTCATTGTTCACTTGACTAGTTCAGCTCATTTTCAGAACTAGTGCATTATTCATTAGAACAGATTCAGTTCACCTTCCCAGCCAGTTCATTCTGAATACCTCAATAGATGGCATAGTTCATGAGCTAGTTCACTGCCGTAATTAGTTTATTCTGATCTCTAAGCCAATTCCCACTGACTAGTTCATGCCAGCTTCCTGTCTTGATCACTCATCGATTCATTTCGATATTCCGTTCAATCTAGGTTTCCAGGGTATACAAAATGGAGTAGTTGGCGAGCAGTTGGGCCGGTAAGCCCTGCCCGCCCCACCACCTCATGTGGGCTTCGCACAGAGCATATGTAAAAGGAAACTACGTCGACCGGAAAGGACATCGCGTGCCGCGGCGCCCTCCCACTCGGGCAGGGGCAGGGGCAGGGGCAGGGGGCAGGAGGCGGGTGGCTGGCGACTGGCGGCTAGAGCTGGGCAACAAAATGGAAAGTATTTCAAATTGCGGCACACAGAGAGAGAGAGAGAGAGAGAGAGAGAAAGAGAGAGCGAGAGGGAGATAGGGCAGGGGAGAGGGAGATGGCGAGAGAGTGTGCGCCACGCGCCAAGTCCAGAAAACAACCCCCGCAATCAGCGTGCGCTGTCATTGGCTAACGGCTGCCCCCTCCTGACCCTGCCCCTGCTCTGCCCAACCCCTTCCATCCGCTGCTCCACCTGCTCAAGCTAAAAAGCAATCCAACATTTTTTCATTTTGCTTTTCTTTTTTTCTTTTTTTCCTTTTTGTGTATTTCCACACGCGAGGCCCGCATTCAGACTCGACTGGCTATATAACTATATAGCTAGCATACGTATGTATACAGACATATATCTATATCTATTATAGCTTATATTTTGTCGACTCATAAATGAAATGGAACAATTCGAAATGGAGTGCATAAATCTAAGGCAAACCCCCTTCGTCCGGGTTTCTCCAGCTGAAAGCCAGCGTCAGGCAGCTCTTTAATGATACAAAAAAAAAATCTACCGTCCACCCCCATCTGAATACAACTGTCATGGACTACCCCATACCCCACCGGGCGGCATATATAGGCGATTATGTTTGGGGCACGCAGACGTCATGACGCATCAACGGAAACACACAGCCAACAGCCAAGATGATGGCACTTCACATTCCATGCGAATGGAGAGGGATACATCCCACATATGAATCCCTAATATATGTATATATCTAGTTTTGTAATATGAGGTGGCTTATATACATATATAGTCAAGATACCCATTGTGTAGGTGCCAAATAAGGTAAATTGGGTAGAGCTAGCATTGCAACAGAGCCCCTAGATACCTCTTATCTGATTGATTGTGATTGATCCATTTGATGACTCAGCTGAATGATGATCTGATGCAAGATGATTGTGCCGAATGATGGACGTAAATGTGTTTTATATTCATGTTGATTGATCTGATTGATTGTGTATGATCTGATTGAGAATGACTGAGACGATTTATGAAAACGATTTATGAACGGTCTAATTAATGATTGATGCTGAGTGATTCATTGATGATGAATCTTCTCTTAGAATATGATTGATAGAATATGATCTTAGATTGATTGAATATGCAGGCTAGTTTTAATTGATGATAAGTCTCATGGACTGATTGGAGTAGTATATCGTTCGATGATGATGATTGTTAATGACTAATAATTACTGACTGTTTCACTACACATTTGACGGATATGATTGATTATGGATATTGTTTGGATTAATCTCTGATATATATTACAAACACAAACCGATAACTATCGATAGAGCATGTCTCTTCAAATAATGATAAATTATACTACATCACAGAGAGTTATAGACATTAAAGGGTATTTCCTTATTTTATGTTTTCCTAATTTAATATTTTTGCTTCTTAAAAAATTGGATTGTTTTGCTCAATGTTTGGCATGTTTGAGTTATTACTGTGGGTATTATGGAACACCCAAATGCACTTGTAAAATTATAAATGCGAAATACGAAAAGCGGAAAATATGAGGAGGGAAAATGAGAAAATGGGAAGTGCTCTGGCCAAGTGGGCGAGCTTTGGCTGCATGTCTGACAGGCTTTAATCATGCTCCAGGCCAATCGATAGGCAGACATGCATACATACATGTGCATGTGTGTCTGTGTGTGTGTATCTCCTCGCACTTGTCGAATTGTCAACGTTGTTGTGGATTGATTGAGAGGGTGTATATATGCATTCATATATGGAAGAAGAGGGGTGTACGGAGTTCATCCACTATCAACTACCCACTATCATCGTGCTCATCATTGTCAATGAATTGAATGAATGACTGCGCCTCGTTCACAGTCACAGTCACAGTCACAGTCGCAGTCGCAGTCACATCCACATTTGCCTTCAGCTTCAAATTGTCCTAATGCACGGCATGGCTGGGTGGTAGAAGGTGGGCCTACCTGCCCCCTGCTCGCTCCCTCCTAGTGTGCCTAATACGCCTGGTCTTCTTTTATAACATCAACTCGAATTGTCGGAAGTTTCGTTTTCGATATCGAAAATAATGCGAGTGGCCGAACGGCATCCGGCTATGCCATGCCCATCACATAGAGGGTGCGGAGCTAGGGCCGGGGGATTTTTGTGACAGGTGGAGGCGTGCCTGTAGGTGGGCGGGTAGGTGGTTGGGGGTGGTTCCGCCTGCTGTCCGGCAAGAAGCCTCAGGTGCTGTAATTGAGTTTGAAATTCGAATTGGTTTACTGCAGCTCCGGAAAGCTGCCTCGAGAAGGGGGCCGGGTGAGCGGCAGCGGAGGCTAGAGTGAGCCTGGTGCCTGGACGGCGTCCGTGTAATGCATTCTGTCTGATAGGCTGGGAGCTGGTCGCTCGTCGCTCGGACTGGTGGCTGAATGGATGGCTGACTGGCTGGTTGGTTGGCTGTCCGTGCCGTGTCAAGGCGTGCCTGGCACGCAAGCCAACACACACACACACACACACACATACAGAGACAGAGATAGAGAGAGGGAGAATGAGAGGGAGCGAAAGAGACAGCCCTACATTTTTGACATGGCGCCCAGGAGCCCAGCCCCCCTGCTCCGCTCTTCTCCAGCAGTTCAGACTGGGCAACTACTTCTGGCGGTTTGTTTCGAGTTGATTTCTGCATTCATATATATTTATATAGACTCTCTATGTGTACATTCATGCACATATATAAATATATATAAAGAAAACGACTCGGTTCAGTTCATAAATTGTGAACAAATTTATGGATTTATGGCAGTTGAGGAAGTTTGCCTTCGCCTTTGGTCTCTGGTTGAAAAATACGAAGGAAACTTTTAAATACAATAATGGGGCGTAGCTAGCCACGCCCCACCGAGCAACGGGCAGATACAGGTAGAGATAGAGAAATAAATAGAAATGGAGATACACATACAGATACTGACACAGATACAGATACGAATACAGATACAGATACAGATAAAGATACAGATACAGATACAGATACAGATACAGATACAGATACAGATACAGATACAGATACAGATACAGATACAGATACAGATACAGATACAGATACAGATACAGATACAGATACAGATACAGATACAGATACAGATACAGATACAGATACAGATACAGATACAGATACAGATACAGATACAGATACAGATACAGATACAGATACAGATACAGATACAGATACAGATACAGATACAGATACAGATACAGATACAGATACAGATACAGATACAGATACAGATACAGATACAGATACAGATACAGATACAGATACAGATACAGATACAGATACAGATACAGATACAGATACAGATACAGATACAGATACAGATACAGATACAGATACAGATACAGATACAGATACAGATACAGATACAGATACAGATACAGATACAGATACAGATACAGATACAGATACAGATACAGATACAGATACAGATACAGATACAGATACAGATACAGATACAGATACAGATACAGATACAGATACAGATACAGATACAGATACAGATACAGATACAGATACAGATACAGATACAGATACAGATACAGATACAGATACAGATACAGATACAGATACAGATACAGATACAGATACAGATACAGATACAGATACAGATACAGATACAGATACAGATACAGATACAGATACAGATACAGATACAGATACAGATACAGATACAGATACAGATACAGATACACGCACATGTCCTGCACATGCCATGTCCTGCTGCTCTCAACCCTCTATCCTTCGCCTTGGACACTCGCTCTTGGCCTTGCTCAATGAACCATGATCCGCATCCAATAAACACTCAATATGCAATTCAAATTGACCGGAAGAACAGTTGCCCCTCACCCCATCGCCCATCAGCCCTGGGCCCTCTCCCTACCCTCTGGACTCCTACGCAGGATCGCGCTGCCTGCGCCTGGGAGTTGGCTAATGGGTTGACCGAGTAATTGCTGGCAATTGTGCGCCGAGTTGCGCTTGTCAAACACCTGATATCCGTATGCATTGAGCCGTGTCAAAGGTGTGTGGAAAGCGGCCAACGGACGGAAAGGGCCGCAAAGCGAAGCGAAGCGGCGCGGCGCCGTTTAACGCATGCACAAAACGTTTCCAAGTTTCCAAGCCCAGGCAATTAATAATTATCGTGTGTATAAATTTCATGGGCAATTGCCAGAGAGAGATGGAGTGCGGGAGAGAGAGAGAGAGAGAGAGAGAGAGAGAGGGAGAGAGGAGGCGGCAGAGGGCGAGCGGAAGCCTTGCGTGGGCGAGCCCTTGCGCCGGCGCGTCTTTTGCCTTGAACGAGGCGAGGACGCGGCCCTGGTAGAAAGCACTGCCTAAAAACCCCTAAAGAAACATCCCCAACCCTTCCCCCTTTAGAGCAGCCCTCGTCACGCCCCACTCCCGCTGTCGCCCCCCTCATCTGCTCTGCTGGAGCCGCAAAGTAAATTTGTGAATGGTTAATGAAAACTTGCCCAAAGAACAAAAAACAACTACAACAACTGAGCAAAGAGGAGGGGGTTAGACAGTGGCGTGGGTAGGCATGGGTAGGGGCAGGGGAAGATCTAGGGGTTGGGGTGTAGAGCTGGTCGGCGTGCTGGCTCATTACATTTAATGAACAGGTTGCCCACGGGGGCCAGGTGATGGGCAAATGTCATAAATTGCTAGCAAGTTGAGTCTACGACTAGGGCTAGCGGTAGGGGTTGGGGGTCGCTACTTTGGGGGCGGCTTTTTCTCTATATAAATTTACATATATATAGGCTATTTACACGCAACATTTGAGCCGGGTTTACCAAATATTTACAGTGATTCGGTGGAAGCAGACCCGAAACAACTTTCATAATTTGTGGAAGCCCAAACCCCAAATGGGGGTAGCCGGGTGGGAGGGGGTGGCAAATTAATGAACCTTGAAAAATGTGTTAAAACTTTTTTATTATTGTCATTGCATTGCTATATTCACATATAGACAGATACGTATACCCCACAAATATACAGTATATAGTGCATGTATGTAAAGCTCTCTAGAAAGTGGGACGGACTAAAAGAAGACATAGCTCAGCACAGTTCGGAAACGCCTAGAAACGTAGAAGTTTCCAATTAAAAAGTTCTCGAAGAGCAAAGAAATTCTATTTGAGTTTCGATTAAAGGAATTTGTATCGAGTCAACCGACGGAACCTAAAGAAAGAGGATTTTAGATTTTTGACTTGGCATTCAGAGCGACCTTCTAGAGAAAGAGAGAGAGAGAGAGAGTGGGAAGTCGAGAAGCAAGCAAAGCTAACTTATCAAGCTGATGGGGGTATCCCAGAGATAGAAGGATGTGAGTTACGCAGATTGCTTTGAGAGGTGGTGAAAGAAGAGAGGAAGACAGAGAAAGAGAGAGAGAGAGAGAGAAAGAGAGAGATAGGAAGATGAAGTCAAATATAGAGGAAGGGAAAAAATATAGAATGTCAATAACAAATTGAATGTTCAAATAGAAATCAAAGAAAGAGGGAGAGAGAAATATAGATAATATAGAATAATATTAATATAGTAAAATGTAATGAAAAAGAGATAGTGGAAGAATTATAGGGAAAGAGAGAGAACGAGGCAGAGAAAGAGAGAGAGAAACAAAGAAAGTGTAAGAGAGAAAGCAAGAAAGAGAAATAGATAGAGAGCGTAAAATAGAGTGACAGGGAATGAGAGAGAGAGAGAGAGAGAATCCGAGAGAATATAAAAGAAGAGAAGTAAAAGAGCGAATGAGACAGAGAGAAAGAGATGCAACGAGAGAGTGGGAGTACTAGCTGGATAGAGAGATAGGGAGACATTCATGCAGAGAGAGAGAGAGAGAGAGAGACAGAGAGAGAGAGAGAGAGAGAGTATACAGAGAGAGAGAGAGAGTATACAGAGGGAGAGAGAGGAAGACATCCCTAGATATATATATATATACATATCTTAATGTGCGAAACAACTTGTTGAGCAACACCAACAACAACTGTAAACATTTTTGATTAGCAACAAAAGGCGAATTGAGGAAATGGCAAAAAAGTACAGGAATACAAAAACAGAAGCAAAGAATGAAAAACAAAACAAAGAACATGCCAAGCGTTTGTAGCAGGTAATAAATTATTGGAACTGGAAACTTTTTAATTTAAAAGTTGTTGTTGTTGTTTGTGTGGTTGTTGTTGTTGCCGTTGCTGTCGGTTGTTAGCCAAACAAGCCAAAGAAGAGTTAAGGCAAGCGCTGCTATGAATACCCTATAGAACGTAATGCGAGAAGCAAATATCAACAATCTATCGAATAAAATTCAAGATCAATGGCGATTCCAATCAATTTCAATCAGTTAATTATGAAATTATTACAATTCTTGTTGGCAATTAACAAATGTGATTAAATTTTTCCCGGAATCAGAAATTACCTACTCCATAGTCCGATTTTGAATAGATATGGATAGGGATATATACATATGGTATATGTAAGGTAGATATATATATAGATATAAATATTGCCAATAATATTTATCGGTAAAGATTCTTGGACATTTATAGCATATTTTATTGAACGGGAAACCAGAAATTTTGCAATCGGCGAGCTCATTGATAGCTAGAATTCACTTAATGTGCTATTCAATCTATCAGTCAGTTAATCTATCAATAAGCTATCAATCAAATTTCATATATGGAGATTAGCTGGATATATGCATAAATATACAAATTTGTATGTCCAATTTTGCAATAGAGCTATGGCTGAAACTTCCTTGGATATACATATCTGTTGCATATACTCTATGTATTTCTTCATTTTTTAAAAGTATTTCACAGCACCCAAATACCCTCTGAAATTAGAGCACTTGGTGAGGGGGTTTTGCTGGAATTGGAATTGGAAAAAGTGAACAGCGAGAATGCGCAAAGAAATGCTTGAGATTTGTTTACTTACATCCGGCATAGCCACAGCTACACACACAGGTACACACACACACACACAGACACACACACACAGCTACACACAGGTGTACACCCACACAAAATGCCGTAGAAAAAAGGTGGAAAAACTACGAACTGTGGGTGGTTCGGTCTCTACAGTTAGTGGATCGGGTGGGTTGGGGTGTGCCATGCACTTTGGGGGTTGCTGTGGTGGGTGTACTTACGATATCCATTGGTATATGCCAGACACCGTCAGCTCACCCTTGTCCTCGAGGGCGTATTCGATGAGTTCCGTGTATGTAAACGGTGGTTTCTTTGGCCTGCTTGTTTTGCGGTGGTTGGTGGTGCGGTGGGCGCCCACATCGATTGGCGAGTGCAAAGATGAGAGAGAGCGAGAAAGAAAGACAGAGTGGAGTGAGTGAGAAAATACGTCAAATAAATATTTATTAAAATGGAGTTGCGTTTGGTTAAAGAGGATTTTTGTTGAATATGTTTCGAGTCTTGGCTGAAAAACTGAGAGCAAAAATAGATAAATATATATCTGAGCAAATATATATAAATACTATACACAAGTCTATATGAAGTTGCTTAAATTCGTAGTGAAGCAAATCACAGAGTTTTGCCTAATATGCATATATCTTAGAGATTTCACAATTGCTTGAGCTTGTGATAAAACCTTAATTTGTCGAATTGCCATACGAATTAATTCCTATATAGATCAATCTGCAGAGCAGATCAGAAGTACCTTTAAAAGAACTTGTTGATCTTTGTTCAAAAACTGTGGAAGTTTATACATGAAAAACCAAATATTTTTTTTCTTTTGTTGATTATAGATGACAAAAAGAGAGAGAAATAAGGAGTCTAAAAGAAATATCCTGAGGGAGCTTTTACTCAGATTATCTCCATCGTCTCATCTACCTAAGATCCCTCTTTAGCTGCAGTTGACCGCTGGCTACACATAGGAGTAGACTCTTGCTCCTAAGATGCTGTTGCCCAATATATTATTAATCTCACTTTCTCTAGAGCAAAGCTAGCAAAATTTGTTATCAACATGAATTTCTCTCAATTTCCCAAGGACAGCTGGTAACATGACCATCCGTCTTCCTAGCTGACCCAGGCAAGCTTTTCGCATCGGGCTTGGTCTTGTTTTCTATTTGCAGATGATCTTTGTTTTGCTGTAGAGTAAAGACTATTCGGCTTTTAGGCTACTACTACTACTTTTAGGTTACTACTCAACTGAGCTCTGTCTTCCTGAAAAAAAAAAATTTAATACCAGCTTCACTTTCGTTCTTCTGCTTTCTGTGTCCTTCTATCTTCCTTCTCACAAGGACCAGGCATTAATTTCTACCTGCTTGGATCTACTGCTTGGTCTAAACCCATCTGTTATTAACATATATAGAGGGATCTCTTTACTATTTGGGTTAGACCCATCTCCTATTAACATCTACCTATAGGGGGATCTCTTTACTTCTTAGCTTAGACTAATCTCTGTGCGCTCACAAGTTCTGCGCTTGCCTTAGTTCTCCCTCACATTGGATTACTCATCTAAACAGGAGACGCCTCTCTTAGATCCCTCCCTCGACCGTTCGCTACTTACGCTTTGGATGCTGTATCCTCGACCACAACATGCTCGGCGACAATCATATCGTTGCCGTCCATCTCGGAGGTGACTTCCATGACCAGTTCCTCGAACTTGCGTCCGGCTTTGGTTGGCGTCGCTGTTGCTGCTGCTGCAGCTGCTCCCGTGGCTCCTCCTCCAGCTGCTGCTGTCGTTGTGGCTGCTGCTGCTGCTGCCGTGGAGGAGGAGTTGGAGCAGCTCTTGGGCGAGCCGCGGGGCTCTTGCTGGGACGAGTGACTGTGACTGGAGTTCGATGCGGAGGCCGGCGAGGCCGAGCTGCAGGGCGATGCGCTGGCCATGTGGGCGGCTGTCGCCGCTGTGGGCGTGGCGGCCTCCAGGCCCACGCCCAGCCGTGCCATGCCGCCGCCCACGTCGGGCGAGAGGTGCGGAAACTCGTCGAACTTGAAGTTGAGCAGCCACGAGAGATTCTTGTCCTCGAAGTCCGGCTCCGGCGAGGAGCGAGCTGGGCAGGTCAATGAACGGGACTGCGACTGTGCTGTGGGCTGTGACTGTGACTGTGACTGGGGCTGCTGCTGCTGCTGCGGCGGCTGCTTCTGTGCGATGGGCACCAGGAAGCCGCTGCCAGTGGCCGCCAGCTGGAGCTGCTGCTCCGCCTGCGCGTCCAGCTGGCTGTCCGGCTGATTCTGCATGGGCGGCAGCGTCGCGTTCAGCTGCGAGATCTCCGTCTGCAGTCCCGTCGTGTAGCGGTGATCCAGCTCGAGCAGCTCGCCCGCCTGCCAGCCCCCGGCGTCCGCCTCCAGGGGCGCCGCGGGCGGCGCGCAGTAGGAGGCGGCGGGCACCAGCAGCTGATTGTCGTAGGCGAACAAGTCGTTGATGAAGGCCGCGCCGGCCGTGCCGCTGGCGCTCGTGTCCAGCTGCAGCTGAAAGCATAGATCGCCGGCTGCCCCCACTCCCACACCCACGCCGACTCCCACTCCAGGAGCGACGCCGACTCCGTTCACATCGTAGTCCAGGTGGCGCTTCTTCCAGGGATTCGCGTTGAGCTGCTCGTAGGGCTCCTCCAGTTGGGTTTCGTATTTGCGCTTGAGGAAGTTGAATTCGCAGTTCGAGGGCAGCGAGTTGTTGTTGTTGTTGTTGTTGTTGTGATGGCTGGAAGTGTGACTGGAATGCTCAGTGGAATGCGGCTGGGCGGCTGAGCTGTTGTTGGGCCCATTGACGGGCATATTGACAATCATTTTCCTCTGCTTTCTGCCTTCTTCTTCTTCTTCTTCTTCTTCTTCTTCTTGTTCACTTTTCACACGAATTCGCACGTCAATTTTTCACAGAGCACACAAAAAAAAGAAGCACTAACAGCGAGAGGGAACGAAGGAGAGAGAGCGAGAGAGACAGACAGCGGGAGAGACAGAGGCAGAGAGAGGGAGAGAGAGTGTTTGGAGTTTTTCGGTTGAGGCCAAAGGAAACTTTTGCGCGTTTGGTTTCCGTCTCGCGCTGCGACTGGCCACGGAATGCGGCTGAAGGATTTGACGGAAGCAACATTTGGCCAGGAGCTGCGCGCTGCCAGGATGGGCAGCGACTGCGGCAGCGCTATCTCTATCTCTCTCCACCTCTCTCGCTCTCTCGCTCTCTCGCTCGCACTCGCATTACACTCGCGCATTGAGTCAAGCACAACAACTATCGATGAACCCCCTAGCCAACCAAAACCCTAGCCATAACCCGAACTCAAACACGAGCCTACGACCTTTTAACGGTACTCAAAAGCGTGCTCTTTCGCATACCCTGTAAGCTGTGGCCAATGGGGTCTCTTGCTTATGAAAGACAGTTGCCTCTTTGTATATTTCCATTAGCTGTATTCAATATACTCCTCAACAGGGCCAAATGGGGTATATTCAGCATGAGCATATACCCTGTTTTCTTTTCGTCAAGCGTATATTTCCGATGCTAATATCTAGAGAATACCCTATATATAAAATCTAATGGGAGATATAGATAGGCTAGACTATGATTCATAGAGTAATTCATCCATGGAATGCATATACCCCACTTGCCAAGGATTTGCATCTCTTGATTGTCATTTTCTTGGCTGGAGTCGAGGGGTTGCTGAACTGTTCAGCTGTTTTTGCAGCATGTGATGGCAGGGTATTTACTAGTCGCGCACTCCCCACAAATAAAGTGCACTAACTTCGTGCTCGCTTCTCTTGGTTCTGCTCGGTCGCGTTTTGCCCATAATCGAACATGTGCCATGAGCTTATGTAGATGTGTATATGTGTATATGTATATATGTATATATATATATATGAGGACTTGTCGACGCGACGCAGGGGAGAGGGCGTTCATTGAAGCGCCTAATCGGACACCCTGTGGCAGACAGCCTGTCGAGCTGCCTCGCGCACAGGTGTTGCGCAGTGGCCAACAGAGCGAAAGAGAGAGCGCAGAGAGAGAGAGAGAGAGAGAGAGAGAGAAATAAAGTTAGGAAAAGAATTTATCTCTAATGAGAGATAGAGAGAAGAAGAGAGAGAAAGAGGGGAGAGAGAGCTGCCTAAGAGATCTTGCAAAGCAAAGCAAATCAAATATTATTTTAGAATTTTAGTGGAACGCTGAGGCAAGTTGAGAATATTACGAAAACTAGATCAAAAAGACTTTAAAGAAACAACTCCATTCATCATTTACCGAGCCAGAAATGCTTCGAAATATATTAGCCTGATTCAGGATATTAATTATCGGTACATGATTTATATGTGCTATAATACATTTAGTGTAATCTCTACTCTTTTGAAAATATGTTTCAATTTTTATCTAGTACATATAAGTTTTTTTTAAATCTACAAAGTTCTTTTAGTTTTCTCTCTCTCTCCCTCTCTCTCTCTCTCTCTCTCTCTCTCTCTCTCTTATCTTAGTACTTTTTTCTTCAAGTGCAATTGACTTTAAAATGATCAATCACTCATTTCTGTCAGCGAAAAAAAATATTTTCCCATTTTCTTTGAGTGTAGTTGACTTGAAAACATGCCAAGAGACATTTTTCGCGCACTGTAATGGATAAACAGTGATTTGACAACTCGTTTCTCTCAGTGTAATCAACATAAAAATGGCTTTAATAAACTCTTTATAGATTGCAATCTATCGAAAGCATTTTATGGCAGGTATTATCCATAAATTTATAGAATTAGTTAGTTCTCGAGTGGTTTTTAGATCGGAAATGAGTTCATAAAGCTCCAAGCGTGATTCATAGCGCACGAATGGATCGTACGGGATCGGAGCTGTCGAAGTGTGTGTGTGAGAGAGAGACAGAGAGTAAGAGCAAGTGAGAGTGAGCGCGCGAGCGTGAAAGACTCATCACAAACGGATTAGAAGCCGACGCATTTGGGACTCCCGGCTAAAGTCAACCAAATAAAATAATAATTGAAAACTAGAAAATGCAATTTCATCAGATGCTATGCGGCGTGTGAATACCCTAACCTGGGTCCACATAGATATATGTATATATAGAGATGGGTGGATAGCAATGTATATAAACTAAAAATGTAAATCTATATATATCTATCTATATAATAATATATATAATAAAATACCTTGTCTACAGTCAATCGTAAATGGAGTCAGAGAGATAGAAAGAGAGACAGAAAAAAAATACATCACGCATTCGTATGTACGTATATATGTATATAATGCACTCATGTATAATAGTATCATAGATCTATAGTTCTCTTTCCTCAATCAATGGACAACATGACTCGCGTAATCAGCATACCCTACCTTACCTTTTCACTCATCATGCATATTGAAGATTAAGAAACAGAACTTGTTTTCATGATCATATTATTTAGACACACGCTTCGCCCTCGTTTTCCCCCTCCCCCACATTTGTCCGCTCTCCTTCGCACCGCCCTCCAGCCTCATCAGCTGCTTTGCTTGATAAGAAGACGTTGCGCTTCGGCTGCTTCGATCAGTTCTCAGTTGTAGTCAGAGACGAGCAGACAACACTGGAATCATTGGTATCAGTGGAAGAAGAAGAAGAAAAAGAAGCTAACAAAAGTAAAGTAGAAGAAGCAGGAGTAGAGGGAAGGAAGCAACGGAAGATGTCGAGCTTGAGGCATTCACTTCTGGTTCTCTTCGTTTGCCTTGTGGCATTGGCTGCTGTTGGCTCCGGTTCCGGTTCCGGATCCGGCTCAGGCAAGGGGCGCAAAAAGGGCGGGGTATGCCCGCCCACCAAGCTGAAGCGTCAGTGGGGCGGCAAGCCGGCACGCAGCCTCAATTATCAGCTGCGGCCCATACGCTACGTGGTCATCCATCACACGGTGACTGCGGAGTGCAGCGGCTTCGTTGAGTGCGCCGAGATATTACAGGGTATGCAGGCGTATCATCAGACACAGCTGGACTACTACGACATTGGCTACAAGTGCGTGTGTTACAGGGTATTCCTATTGGTTGCTACACATGAATCTGCTATTTACAGGGTATTTGGTGAATGTGTTGATATGCCTCACAATTGAGACTTGAAAATATTGCTCCGTAGGGTATTTTCAGTTAAATAGCTTCTTATACAGGGTATTTTTATGGATGACATTTTATTTGAATTTTTAGTAAAAATTTTTTACAGGGTATATGATATACAGAGAACTTATATTTGTAGCATACCCTCTTTACAGGGTATTTCCGACAAGTCTTGCTTTAAATTGAATTTCTATTAATGTTCGACCCAATACTCTCTAGCTTTCTTATAGGGAATGATGGACTAGTCTACGAGGGCACCGGCTGGGGTGTGCGAGGCTCCCACACCTACGGCTACAATGCGAACGGAACGGGCATTGCCTTCATCGGTAACTTTGTGGGTGAGTAGAGGCGACCATCACGCTGATCTTCTTCTGCTTAAACTTGTTCCTTTTCCTTCTCCCTCTAGATAAGTTGCCCTCGGCGGCTGCTTTGGATGCCTGTCGCAAGCTGTTGGAATGCGGCGTTAAGCTGGGCGAGCTGAGTGAGGATTACTCATTGATTGGAGCATCCCAGGTGACAAGCACAATGAGTCCAGGTCTGACGCTGTATAATGAAATACAGGAATGGTCCCATTGGCTGTCGAATCCATAGAGGGAGATATAGAATATGAGAGAGACAGAGTGAGAGAGAGACATATAGACCGAGACAGAGACGGAGAGTAAACACACACTTTTTTGTTTTGCATTAAAGTGGGTTTTACCCACAGCGAAATTGCAAATCATATTCATTAAAAAAAAAACAACAACAACAATAATTATACAATAAAATATAAACATTAGCTGATAACCTTTTTCAAAAGTTCGCGCAAGAAGCAGAATGTAAATGCACTTATCGATATACGTCTTTTATCGAAAGTACTTTTAATGCGCGCACACATACAAACTATCGCAGCGTTCGATAGGTGCTAAATTTTACATTTGTGCAATTAATGTTGTGCAACCATTTACGGCTTGATAAATTTTACAAAAACAAAAAAAAAAATCTCTCACGAGTGTCTTTTCAATAACAAATAACAGCGCCATTTGGCCAAGCAGCGTAGAGAAACATCAACTGTGACGCCCTCTAGCGTCACGTAACAGCTACTTCAAATCGCCAAGCAGTGCAGCACTAGAATACTAATCGATAGCATGATGTATATTGGCGCGCATGCACTTAAAATTTAAATATGTCTTTTTGGTATACGCTGACTTTAAATAAAATGTATATAACAAAGCAACAATATGTATTATTTAATATGCCCTGCAGCCAAATGTTTTTAAGTATTTGTTTTTATGCAAAGTTTTATCATGTGGTTGTCAACTAGCGCAATGAAGAGCATAACGATAGCTGATATATTTTCTGGCCGATATTTGTTGCGTTTAGAACAAGCTTAAATCTATATTGCTCTAATTTAAACAATTTAAAAATAAAATTGGATTTTTTCACTTATTTTGATATGTACTTTAATTCAATTATTCACCCAATTCACATAAAATTCTCATTTCGTGACCATTTAAAATGCTGCTCATTTTGGCGCCATATATCGATAGTCAGCTTGCGCAGTATCAATCGCACACACATGTTGCGCTCCGACCTGTCTACGCTGGGCAAACACAAAAACAGTTGTTGTATCGCTTTCGAAGAGGAAGGAGTTTGCGCGCGTTCAGCTGCCGGCAATTGGTTTTTATTTGACTTTGTTTGCATTGTTTTTTACGCTTCTCGCGCCGATTCTTGTTTTTTTTTTGTGTGTTTGTGTTTTATGTTTGTTTTTGTGCTGAGTGAAGAGCAAAAACTACTGCAAATGCAAATATTGCAGTGCATTTAAATACAGTTACGCGAAATACAAAATAACTGCAAAACGCAAAGCAAAGCAAAGCGACAAAATTCTGTTTTCATGTGTGCGTTTCTTGGTTTTGTCTTATTTTTTTTGGTTGATGTGCAAGTGAAAGCGTGTGAAAAATTCACCTTAACGTTCGACACGCTGCGAGGCCAAAGTCAAAGCCGGAGCCAGAGCCAAAGCTAACATCAAAACAAAAATCAAAACAAAAATCAAAATCAAAGGTCTTGGCTACATATCTGCGGTCTCGCTCGCACTTGGAACACTTTGGCGTATCCTGCGGTCAACCGAAACTTCCGTTATTAACTTCCATACGCTATGCAACCGCAACTGTTGAGCCCGCGCAACAGTTGATCAACAGTTTCAAACAGTACACAGAGGTAAGCAATTGGAGTGCTATTGGAATTATGTTAAGTCCAATTGGATAGGCCTTGATTAGAATGAGCTCTGTATTTGGCATTCAATCTATTGATAGGCGTAAATTGAGTGAGATGCGCCTATGCAATGCCAATTGGAATTGCTTTCGCTTGAATTGGATTTGCTATGAGAAATGAGTTAGGCGATCTGTTGATTGGAATGAACTGAGTGATGACAATAGATACAAATATTAGCTGGCTTTACATAGTTGTTATTGAAAATATCACTCATCAATCGCTTCATCAGCTTAATTTTTTGAAATATTTACTCTTATAAGTCTCTACCCGATGCATTCCACAAACTTCATGTGGATCGCTTGGTAAACAGCCAAGTTTCCATGGTTCGTTAGCTGGTTTCAGTTTTTGGCATTGTGAAACCTTGGCAAACTGTGCTCTTTAGCCATTTACAGTTATTGATTTTTGGTTCTTGGTGCATTTTCGGATCACACATCAATCAACATGAGATATTTTGATTTCATGGCCTTTGCCGTTTTTTCTCTTTTTTTTTTTCTTATTTCTGTAATCGAGTCAATTTTCTTGTTGTTGTTCGGCTTCGCTCGACATCTTCTTTGGGCTTTCGGGGTCATCAACTCTTAATGTCTCGCAATTTTTACCAAAAAAAAACCTCGTCGACGTTGTTGTTGTTGTTGTTGTTGTAAAGCCATGTACGATATGCCAATTGCGTAAAAGATAAAACCGAAACACAAGTCGTACAGATCTGTCTTAATACCATTTCGTATGTACGTGCATTCGCTCAAGTCCGAAATAGAGTAAAAATAAAAATAATCAAATTAATGTCGTTTCACATGCGCACACAGACAATGAATGAAGATTTAATTTGAAGCTTATGTTCCCTTCTAAAATCGATAAATATCGATAAGCAGCCCTTTCCTTTCAGCTACAGACACTCTGCATTGCTCCTAGAGGATATCCCTTCTACTATATTGTCATTAAATTGTATTTGTGACCTTACAGGGTATGTGCCAGTCGCACATGCTCTGCACTATATTTGAAATGGAATTTGTCTGGCTGGACTTGATTTTTATGGCTTCGGCGTCTCGATGCGTCTTAGATGCGTTTTCGGTCAAGTGAAATTCGAAATTCGATGCATTTGCATAATCGCCGCGCGCCTCGGGCTGAGACAACAAGCGACAGCGTCTCATAACCTCAATCGGGGAGGCAGCCATGCCCGCCAGACTCTGCAGACTCAGCAGGCCCGCCAGGCCCACACAGGCCTAGCCGCCATTCCAGTCTCTGCTTCCAGTCTTCGCTTCCAGTCTTCAGTAAATTGCAGTGCGTGTAATTTGTTGTCCCAAATTGCGTAAAATTTACGCAGCGGCTGTCGCCCCAGCGATTTTCACCTGCCTTGCAGCAGCCACACCTGCCCGCCGGCCCCTCCACGTAGCCCCCACCACCTGTTGCTTGTGAAACTGCCGTTAAATGCGGCTGCACCAAAAGTTTTTGTTAATTAAGCTGAAGCGTCGCTCGAATCGAACTACCGTCCCCTGCTCGCTCATACGACTCACATAGAGTATATCCAGAGTGAGTATATAACAGGCACATCTATCTTATATATCGTAGTATCAATGGCTGGAGAAGTACATATTAGAGTGACTGTACCAAGTGTTTTCTGTGTGTAATTCTCAGCTATATAAAGCTCAAATCTAATTATCTTACTGTTCCTTTGCTTTATTCTCGAAGACCTTCAGAGGTATAGGACATATGCCTTAGATGGTAGAATCCATCGCAATCTTTGCTTCTCGAATACTTTACCAGCTGGCGTGGTATTATTTCACTCTTTGGATAGCTTTAAAAACATAAATATCTCGAAAACTATAAGAACTACAGCTATCGAATTTGGTATGAACACGACTCTGAGGCGTAAACTGATGATATATAAATCGGTTTCCTTTTAACCTTCCCGAATTTCTCTATAATCACACTGGAATCTTGGGATCTTTAGTGGATGCCTCTAAAGTATAAAAAGAAACAGAATATATTGCTTTTTCAGATAATCGTTATAATTGAATTTGAGCCTTGGCTCAACAGCCCCTTAGTAACAGCTTAGCAACACCTTTTGCGCTTGCGGCCTTTGGTCATGCGGATGAGTTGAGTATTGATCTCCGATTCGGTCAGGATATGGAAATAGGGATTCGACTGGGTGACCATTGCCATTTCGAAGTCGGTCGCCCTCAGCTCCTTGTCGAGGGCGAAGGCCAGGGTTCTAATGGCCAGCTTGACTGTCTCGTCCTTGCTCATATTGTACTTGTACACGCTGTCCACGTAGTAATTGCCGCGCTGCATTGCGCTGCCGAAGACGCAGGCGCGATAGCCAATTGGAACGCCCGTGGGATCTGTGTTATAGATCAGTGGACCGAGCTGCAAGTCGTACGAGATCAGGACTATCGAGCAGGCCAGCGGACGTATATTGGCATCATGAGTATACACCTGATTGATGTCCGCCAAGCGCTGGCACATCACGTCGGCAGCTATCGGATATCCGTACCTGTGCTGGAACACGCACGCCTCCTGGAGGGCCCTGTGCACATGCGATTTGCAATCGGCTTGGCGTCCAATCACCGCACATCCCAATACATCTGAGATGCGGAAAATGCGATTCGCAGTCTCTGTTACGGCGTATTTAGATAGCGGCTTCCTCTGCACGACCAGCACAACACAGTCGACGCCCGCTATGGCGACCATTGTGCGATTATCCCTGTTGACTGCCTTGGCTGCGAACTCCACCTGGTACAGACGCCCCGCTGGCGAAAAGATGGTGATGAGTCGATCCAAAGTACAAAGCGACATGGCTTTCGATCGTTCTAAATGTGGTAAAATATAAAATATAAACCTATATATATTTGTATACAAATATATTTGTTTTTTTTGTATATGCTTGTATCGAGATATACTGAATGAATGAGCTCCCTGAACAGTTCTCCCCAGTCAAAGGCAGAGCTGTTTGACGTTCTAGTCAAAGCACTCTTTGCTGTCCACTTTCGCAGGCTGTATTCGATACCCAATTGATATAATACGCAAAGCTCACTATATGGTTCACATATATCTTTAGTAATATCTCATGATAGTATTATCATATCCGATGAAAGTCCTGTGACTGACTTCAGGTTGAAGATGTTCAGTTGACGATTTCAATTGCCGTCGCTAATTGTCAATGTTGTTGTCATATTATATCATTAGGCATTTGTCATTAGCCATCAGTCATTTGCCATTACGCATTAGCTCTGTGACTCTATTAACTAACTGTTCTCGTTCCATTTAAGCACTCAAGGCGGAGAGTAGCCGAGCGAAGAGCTCCGGAGCTACGAAGCTACGAGGCTACGGAATTACAGAGTATGTTAATTTAGCAATTGTTCAGCGCAAATTGTGTGGAGAAGTCTGAAAAGACTTTGACCCATAAAGAGAGGAGCATAATAGGGAGAGAGAGAGGGAGACAATGAGAGCAAAGATTAGATTGAAAGTCGGAAAAAGGGAAATCAAGTGACGAGTATATGGGAAAAGAATACAATAAGAAAGAGGTAGAGAGGTACCGGAGGAAAGGGAGAGAGACAAGCAAAAGTCATATAGAGCAGAGAGAGAGAGAGAGAGAGAGAGAGAGAGAGAGACAGAGACAGAGGAACAGGACAAAGAAGGCGCGAGGAAGAGAGAAAGTTATATGCAACAAGCGTAAAGGGAGGTAGGAAAATAGAGGGATTAAGAGATTAATCAAACTACAATTCCATTCCACGAGCGACTACTGTAGTGGAGAGTAATCATGAGCCAAGTGATTAGGGCTCGGCACTCGGGAAAATCAGCTCCAAAGCAATTCAAACTCAAAATCCATTTCAATCCGTTTACAAATGGTCTGTGAAAGAGTAGGGCAAGAAGATAGGCTGAGGAGGGGGGTCGAGGTGGAGGTGGAGGTGGAGTGAGACTAGCTGGCCATCTAGTTGGGGGCAGTTGGAGCATCAAGTGCATAAATAGCTGCAGCAATTAAAGCTCCAGCAGCAACAACAATGTAACTTTGGGCTCTCATCTCATTCCACTCAGTCCACGCCCGCGGGCCGCGGCCCGCCTCCTCAGTTGGCTTTCGCCCCTGTTGTTTCCAAAGAAATGTTCAAATATAAATTGTAACAAAATTGAATTGGAGGCAAATGTGTGTGCTTTATTACATAGCCAGGCTAACCGATGGGTCGGCCAGGCACGCGTTGCTTGGCTGGCCAAATGAATTCCTATACCCTAACTGACTAGCTGGGCATATGCATCTATTGATGCACTTGAATTTTGACAGAGATCGTAGAATATATATCAAATATGTATACATATATGTATACACATACATTTTTATATGTGGATATATATTTATTGTGTTATTGAATATTATCAAACAAAAGTTCAAATTTTCCTTTCTTGCTTTATAGAGTATTTCTTGAGCTTCTTATTTATAGGGCTCATTTTGCCACAAACACATTTTAAGTTTTTATATGTAGCATGACCCCTTCCCTAGCAGTTCCTCTTCCTCCGTCTTCTTCTTCTTGCTTCTGTTTTTTGGCATCTCTCGTTACGCAGCGTCCAGTGTAAACAATAAACAGATCTTGGAATATGCTGCATACGCACCCCACACACACACACACACGCGCATGCACATGCTTATATGCTGTATTTCACCTATATATATGCACACACACACACACACACATATATATATTTACAGACATGCAGTGCTTGCTGATTCGCTGGCATCTGGCTATAAGCAACAGAAACTATTCAAATTGATCGCAGAAACTTCATAACGAGGCATTTCTCTCTCTCTCTTTCTCTCTCTCTCTCTCCCTCCCCCTTTGCGCCGTGGCATATGTAATTTGAAGTTTGCTCACAGCAACAACAACTTCTAAAATTTACTTAACAAGGCAACTGCAGCATATTGCTCTCTCCCTCCCGCAATCGCATGTTCCTCTCTTCCTTTC